TTAATTTTTAAAACTTAAAATAAATTCTCACTCACTTCTCTCCTTAGTCAAGGAGGCTCTTGACCTCAAAGATGCTTTAACTTAGCCATCCATTTATCCAGTGAGGGTCTCAGTGATTAATTCTTTCTAGAGCAGAGGTGTCAAACTGGTGGCCCTCGGGTCGGATGCGTCGCATACAGGACACACCCACCCCATTTACACAAAGGCAAAAAACATCAAGATTCATCACATGACATGATCAAGTTTAACACCCGTGTTCTAGAGGACAATTCTATCAAATACAATCAGAATGATGGGACCATCTGCCTCATTTGGGAGATCTGGTGATCTATTTTTCATAAAATATACCTTTCTTATAAGCTATAAAAGTTTATAAAGATGTAGCTGGTCTCACTGAAACAGCAGGTCTCAGTACTAGCATCCGGTCTTTCAGGATTCAAGGAGCCATTCATTTTTGTACCTCTTCATATTAAGAGATGCCTGTACAGAACCACATTTTTTTCCTATTTTATGTTAATAGGCTCCTCTTCTTCCTCTTTGGCATCTACTTGTTTTAAAGGCATTAGTGTACCACTCATTCAGTTCTATTCACTCAACAGAAATCAGATTTTTCACTTGAAATTGTACCAATAGCCAGGTGGGATGGATGAAATCTTTAAGATCTTCCCATGCTGTGTGATCCCACATTCCCATCCATGGTCAACTCCTCAGGTAGATCTATCAGCCTTTCAGGCATCTTGAAAATTTTTTCAAAATCTTGAAATTCTTTAAGCATGTTGTGTCTTTTAGGTTTCTTTTAATGAACCGTCACTCCTGGTTTGAAAATAGACAAATGTGGAATTTGATAAACAATTTTTTATTTGTTTGTTTGTTTTTAATGATAAATTTCATACATCTAAAATAGATCCTTGAAATTGTTCAAGTAGTAGAGGTGACCAAGGAGGCTTTTATAAATTTAGACTGATTCAGAAGCTAAGCCTTTCCTAACAAAACTGCAAAGTATAGCAATCCATATTTGCAGTGCTTTTTTTTTGTAAAAAAAAAAAAAAAAAGGTACCGGAACGCACACATGTTATACAACCCGCCTTGCCTATCTTACAAGGTTCCATTCAAACAAGGTGCTGGAACTCCGTTCTGGGCGTTCTATGACCAAAAAAAGCCCTGCATATTGGTAAAAACTGGAAGCTGCTCTGTTTTCTGAGATAAATTGGTAATAAATTTAAATCTCTAGGTGACCTGAAGCAAAGTATTTAACAGAAGACTATAATACACATATCCTTTCTAGATTTCCCCCCCCCCTCTTCTGCTGCCTTTCAGCAATTGGGAAATTGGGTATATTAGGATTGGAATTCTGACGACATAACTGGCCTATTCAAAACAGAAACTTCCATTTGGATTCACATTTTCATACTGGCTTAAGCTTCTTTTTTTCCTGTCAGCTTGGCCCCTTTAATTATGACTGAGAGTTTCCTGTCTCTTTAGCCAATCTTAAGCAATTTCCCATTGACTTAGAAACTCAATCAGATTTCTCACTCTTATCCAGAAACATCTTCTGAGCCACTCTGCATGTTTTTAACCAACTAATTGCATAACACCTAAATTTAAAAGGGCTTTGACTTTGGCTATATTCAGTGCCTATCCAACAGCAGTTATTAAGGAGAAATATTGAAAAAATCCCTTTTGAGCGGGGATTGTGCATATGTGATGGAGGAACTATTGAAACACTGGAACATGTTATGTTGTACATCAATACTGATGTTTGCCAGAAATTACTATTCCCAATCATTATCAAACACCCTCATTGCAGTGATTCCTTCTATCTCAAATTGTTATTATCAGACAAGTCTGATTCTATATAGTTAAATATTGTAGCTGAATTATGTACAATAGTTTGCACAATACACAATATTTTTTTCCTCAAACATTTAGATGTTTTCCATTTGGCAACATTACAACTGCAGCTGCCATTTAGTTGCTAGTCCATGTCAATATATCAATTGGTTATTTCTCACTTATTTTTATTATTGGCTGCCAGAATCATTTTAACAATATAGATAAATAGTCCCAATTCCAACTTTTATTTCTGAAACCATAATAACTGCTTATATATTATTCTTTCTTACATAACCATTTTATCTCTAGATATAATATCAACCACAATTTTCCCATGAATTTTAGCACTATAGTGATTCTTTGTTGTTATGCATACATGTTCACAACCAGACAACAAAAATAGGGAGGGGGGAGGGAAAATATTGGAATGCAAGGGAAGCTTAGGAAGGAATTGAGGAATGCAACTGAGCTGATGGAGCCTGGGACAGTCCCCATAAAGTCAAATGTTGAGAAAACTTTGAGGCAATGAAATTGTTCCCAAAATAAAATGAATTTGTTTTACTTTGGGAGTAAAAGGGATCCTTATTGCCCTATTGGATTTGGGGTCACCAGATGCTTGATTAGCCCCCAAGTGGAAGAGAAATTGGGGATGAAACTGAGGAAATTAAGACAGGCTATGGCATTTTCCCAATTGGATGGTTCAAAAACAGGCAGTGTGCCTGTCAAGATCAAGGCTGGAATCTATGTAGAGACTATTAGATTTATTATAGCCCCTGGGGTGACGGAAGCAATGGTCCTAAAGCTAGCATGGTTGACAAAAATGGAACCCCTCCATGACTAGGACAAAATAATTGGCAGATGTGGAGAAAAGCAGCCGACCACGCACCCACTAATACACTGGAGGGAAGTGATGGTTTAGAGCCATTGATTGCAAAGGAATGCTGCAACTTAGCCGAGGGCTTTAGTGAGAAGGAATCAGACATACTCCCACCCCATCTACCTACAGATTGTGCAATTGAGATTTTGCAGGGGGCTAAATTTTGCAGGGGGCTAAGCCAAAGATATACTTAATAATACCCAGGGAAATGGGGAAGCTCCGTGCATGGTTAGACAAAAATCTAGCTAGAGGTTTTATCCAGCTGACAAAGTAAAGAATGGCGGCCCCTGTGCTCTTCAAGGAAAAGAAGGATGAGTCTCTTAGACTATGTGTGGACTATAGGGGCTGAATTGTATTTGCATAGAAAATATGTACCCCCTCCCATTAATGAAGGATATGCTAGGGCACTTTGCCAAGGGAGAATTTTCACGAGGTTGGACTTGAGGGAGGCATATTACCAAGTGAGAATTAAGAAAGAGGACAAATGGAAGACAGTGTTTAATTGGCCCCTGGGCTGTTATCAGTTCTGCATGATGTTATTAGGATTCAAGGAGCACCTGCGATATTAATGCAATTGATAAATTTCTTACATAAGCACCTGTACAAAGGGGTCTTGGTCCTGGACAATATATTAATCTATATCAAGACCAGGAAGGAGCATGTGAAACTGGTAAGAACGGTGCTCAAGAAACTATGGAAGACTCAACTTTATGCAAAGCTGTCCAAGTGTGACTTTCACAAGACCAGCCTAGACTACCTGGGGAATTGGATTTTGAAAGAGAAAGTGGTGGTGGACCCTGGTAAAGTTTAGGTGATACTGAACAAGGAGGCAATTGCAGATTTTTCTCAGGTTTGCAAACTTCTACCATCAATTCATCCCCACATTTGCCCAGGTAGCCCTACCAATCATCAACCTGTTGAAAACAAAGGGAGAATGCCTTTGCCAGAACTTACTCAAGAGATCCCCTCATCAGCCTCATTGACTGAGTGGATAGACACTTTGAAAGCCACCTGGGTCATAGAGCACAAGGCGTTAGAAAAAGCAAGGGAAGTGCAAAACAGATAAGCAGATAAGAAGAGAGTGCCCCAGAAAGAGTTTAGCATAGGAGACAAAGTATATCTATCCACAAAGTTCCTACATCTGAGGCAGCCCTGCAAAAGGTTGGGACCCAAGTACACAGGCCCTTTACCTATTATCTGGATTGTGAATCTGGTAACAGTGGAGTTCAAACTGCCAAAAAATCTCAGGCACATTCACCCAGTGTTTCACTGCAGTTTATTGAAACCCTTTCATTGTTCACCATTAAAACCAGCTACTAAGCCTCCTCCCCTCCCCCATGAGAGAAACATTTTGAGATCAAGGAAATCCTTGACTCCTGGTATTATAAAGGGAAGTTGCAATATTTAATATTATGGAAGGATTCTCGCCGGCAGATGTAGAATGTGTGTCAGTAGGGGATGTTCGGGCACCTAGACTTATCCACAGGTTACATGTTAAGTATCCAAACTGGCCTAGATAGGATATAGGGGAAAAGGAAAAAATGTAATTTAAGATTCTATATGTTTGTTTTTTGTAGGATTATCTTTCTTCTGAAGGATCAGCATGTCATGGCTGACTCACTACCCACTCCTGCTCACAACCAGACAACAGGGAAAGGGAGGGGGGAGGGAAAATATTGGAATATAAGGGAAGCTTGGGAGGAAATTAAGGAATGAGCTGAGCTGATGGATCCTGGGACAGTCCCAAAACCCCAAGATCAAACACTGAGAAAATTTGAGGCACTGAGATTGTTCCCAAAACAAAATGAACGCAATTAATTGGTGAACAATGAACAGTGGGGAAGTCCAGGTGAAAAGGGGGATTTTTCTATGCTGATTTTCATGCGAGAACTTTAGAACTGGTTTTGCTACTACTGTGCCTATGTGGAATTATTATAGTTATAATCTTAGTAAAATAATGTCCCAGGAGTTTCTTTTGTTGCATTTACCAATGGGGTGGTTGATAAGTTTACACTAGTAAATGTACTATTCTGTTATTCTACATTATATTTAATTCCTAATCTAAAATTTATTACATTATTTTTATGCCCCAGGTTCATAAATTTAAATCTATAATTTTGCTCGTATTATTGTATAATTGTATAGCTCATTTTATTCTATTCAATTTCTGTCTTGTATAGGCTACAGTGACATTCAATGAATTAAATGGGACTCTTGTCATTTTTTTTGTTTCCCAATGGCAAAAATTAAATAGTTGATCGACTTATGTAATGTTTTTCATGTGTTATAGGAATACAAGCGCAAATTAACAGGTGTGTCCCAGGTACGGAAAGAACTCAAGTCACGCATCCAGAGCCTCCCTGATCTGTCTAGGCTTCCCAATGTTACAGGAAGTCAAGTGCATCTACCGTTTGCAGGGGATGTCTATAGTGATGAGTGATACTCAGATCTTTCACTGGAATGAGGAATTGGTTAGGTTGAATGCTCATTATTTTTATATATGTTTGCAGAGAATAGCACTGAAATGTTCTAATTTATATTGCTTTGTTAATATTTGATTAATAAGTGATAAAGCAAGTACTATGTAAGAGGCAGCATTTATGTATTATGTTAAAAAAGTGATTATTGCAATTAATTTTTCTATTCTTTTTGATTAAATCTTGCCCTCAATAATAAGCAGCCTCTTTTTTTCTGGTCCTTTTTATGGATATAATTCTGTTAAACATAATTTGTGCATACCAGTAGCAGAAACATATTTTGATTGCTAAATATTTGAAGAATAAATATTTTTTTAAATGTTGAATACAAATCATATTAAAAACAAACATTGAAAAATCAGCAGTGATTTTACTTAAGTAAATTAAAAATGTTATGCAATTTAGTACTTCAAACCATTAATAATATTTAAACTGAATTGTTTACACTTTCAAATATAATGCTTATACAAAATTTCTGTTCTGATTTATGCCTAAGTAGGCAAACCTAAAAAACATCTAGGACAGTGTTTCTTGAATATCATTCACTTCCCATAACTGGGAGTGATTATATGTATTTTTTTAAAAAAAAACAAAACCCTAGAATATTAGTGAAATTCTAATTCAGAAGCAAGTCCCAGTAGTATCTTCAGTAGGGTATATTCTAAGTCAGGGGTAGGCAACCCAAAACACTCAAAGAACCACTTGGACCCGTTTCCCACCGAAAACAAAACACTGGGAGCCACAAAACCCCTTTGATATCTAAAATGAAGATAACACTGCATATATCCTTTTTTACCTATATATTTGTTGTTGTTGTTGTTAATTGCGAAGTTGTGTCTGACCCATCGCAACCCCATGGACAATGTTCCTCCAGGTTTTCCTGTCCTCTACCATCTTCTGGAGTCCATTTAAGTTCACACCTACTGCTTCAGTGACTCCATCCAGCCATCTCATTCTCTGTCGTCCCCTTCTTCTATTGCCCTCAATCTTTCCCAGCATTAGGCCCTTCTCCAGTGAGTCCTTCCTTCTCATTAGGCGGCCAAAGTATTTGAGTTTCAACTTCAGGATCTGGCCTTCTAAAGAGCAGTCATGCTTGATCTCTTCTAGGACTGACCAGTCCAAGGGACTCGCAGGAGTCTTCTCCAGCACCATAGTTCAAAGGCCTCAATTCTTTGGCGCTCAGCCTTTCTTATGGTCCAACTTTCACAGATTTATGCAGTGTTATCTTCATTTTAGATGTCAAAAGGGTCTCTCTCTCTCTCTCTCTCTCCCTCCCTCTCTTTCCTTCCCCTCCCTCTCTTTCCTCTCTCTTTCCTCTCCCTCTATCCTTCTCTTTCCTTTCTTTTTCTTTCCTCTTTCTTTCTCTTTCCTTTCCCTCTCTTTCTCTTTCCTCTTTCCTCTCCCCTCTTTCTCTTTCCTCTCTTTTTCTTTTCTCTCTCTCTTTCCTATCTTTCTTTCCTTTTTCTTTCTTTCCTCTCTTTCTTTCCTCTCCCTCTCTCTTTCCTCTTTCTCTTTCCTCTCTCTCTTTCTCTGTCTTTTTTCCTCTCTCTTTCTTCTCCCTTTCTCTTTCCCCTCTCTTTCCTCTTTCTCTTTCCTCTCCCTCTCTTTCCTCTTTCTCTCTCTCTTCCCCCTCTCTCTTTCTTTTTCCTCTCCCTGTTTCACTTTCCGCTCCCTCTCTCCTTCTCTCTCTTTCCTCTCTCTCTTTCCTCTCTTTCCTCTCCCCTCAAGATGTCTGGTTGCCCTTTTCAGTGACTCTGGACAGCTTACAGTTCAGAAAGAATTCAGGCAAGTCAGGCCGGGGCTTGGTCAGGCCCTCGTGGGGCGCAATTAGAGGCGGCTCCACGGAGGCCTGGGTGCCTGACTCATGGAGGAAGCAGGTCAGGAGCCCACAATTAGCAGGCCCACCAGGAGATGGCTGACATGGACACTCCTGCAGCGGTCAGGCGGCTCCTGAGCTCCCCACTGAGCTGGATGGGATTCCTGGCCAGCCGGCCACGGGGTGGGAGCAGTTCCCTTGCCAGGGCCGCTTGGCCTCCCCGGCTGCCAGCTGCCTTTCCAGTGCCAAATCCTGCAGGAGGGCAAGCCGGGCCAGGCTGGGTGGTAGGAAAAGAGGCATGGGCGTGGGAAAATGGATGGAGGTCCCGGGAAGGCCAAGCGTGGGGGGCAGGAGGCAGCAGAAGGCGCCTGAGGCACCAAGGACAGGCCCGGGAAGATGTGTGGCCGGCTTGGTTGCCAGGGAGCAGCCCAGGAGTGATGCCCCCGTCGGCTGCTGCCCCAGCCGGGACTGCTGCCCAGCCTGGCCCAGGGAGATGAGTGGCTGGTTTGGCTGCCCAGGAGTGATGCTGGCGCCGGCCACTACCCCAGCTGGGACTGCCGCCAAGGGGCAGCAGGAGGAAGAAGAGGAGGAGGGCAAGGAAGCCGCCGCTGCTGCCGGGCCCCAGGAGGAGGGTCTCCTACCTTGCTGCATCACCCTCTTAAAAGCCCCCCAGTACTGAAGAGGCCCTGGCCCGCTGCTGCTTGGGTCCCATCCCAGAGGGGAGCCAGCTGCCCGGAGAGTGGGGGCGGGTGGCAGAGGTGTGGTGGTTTTTCCTCCCCCCCCCCCGGCCTTGCATGCCAGCCAAACCGGCTATGTGCCTGACTGCGAGCAGGCTCTCCAGGGCCAGCACACCCCGACGAAGGAATGAGGAGTGGTTGCAGGAAGGAATGTGTAGCAGGCATGTCTGAGCTGCAGCAGGTGAGCTCCCAATCAGGAGTTCTGTGAGGGGGCAAGTCCACATGAGAGAGAGAAAGAGAAGGGAAGCGTAAGTGCCTCTCTGTCTCTCTCTCTCTCTCTCTCTCTGCAAATGGCGGAGGAGGCTCAGGAGCCATAGGTGATGGCTCAAAGAGCTGCATGCGGCTCTGATGCTGATCCATGCTCTAGGTAAATGAGTGCAAAATATCATCGTAGTGTGCTAGATTCAGAGCTGTGTTGCTTTGGGAAATAACAATTGCTTCCATTTACTTGCAAAAAGGAATTTCATAGTTCCAAATTTTTCATATGGAAAAAAATAATTATTGACAACTCATGAGTTGGAAAGTACATGCTCTATACCTTATATCTCAACATGTTTGCCCAAATGTCTATATGGACAATCTCAAATGAAATTATTTTTATGTATATTTACAATGTATATTACTATTTTTTCCTTTGCTGGCATATTTTTAGATTTTGCTTGTAGCATTGTTTAATAGAAATATATTAAATACTACTAGGACAACACATTATTATATATTAAACACATTAATTTTTACTATGATTTAAATATATACATACATACATACATACAAACATACATACATACATAGTAAAATATATAACATAAATGGGCATTTTATTGCCCATTTAAGTCTCCTGATCTGTCGCTTATTTCTATAGTAAACATTCATGCAATAAGTATTGTATATTTACCATATCTGCATTATATAGTAATTGTTTTATGTGTTCATATGCTGTTTGCAATTTTTAGGCATGATCCAGTCAAGCATAATGAAATACATTTTCTTTAGTGGAAGAAATTAAATATGTTTAAATCTTGTCCAGTGAAATAGATAACATATTAAAATTCTTAACTTTTGCATTATGCTCCTGTTATTATCCAAAATGTTTACTATTGCTTGCTTCTATTTTTAACTTCCTGCTTATAATTTTTAAATAGTCCTAAAATATTTTCTAATAGTTAAATGAACAATTTTTGGATTCACCTTCCTGAAAAAAGGACAAAAATTTTATGATGTTAATTTTTCTGAAGTATGATGTTTAGATGAATATCAGTATGTTGATTAGGTACATTGTACATCTGCACTGTATAATGTTTACTTGTTAAATTATTCCATTGTGAATTTCTGAAGCGATTATATAATCTGAATTTGCAAAGCATTCTTCAAATGATCACTTACATTAGTGCCACTGCCTTTCATAACATTGTGCATGATAAAGATCTAAACCTCATTTTATTATGTATTGTACATGCACCAGTATATTGGACTCTCAATGATTTACAGGTACTGAATGAGTTCTACTCCTATGCAGAGTTTATCTCAGAACATTGTAGAACTGCATATGATTTCAGAGCCAGATTGTCTCTCTCAACATTATCAAAGGGCTTAATTTTGATTACAGTAGCAGCATTTGAATAATTCTTTAGACTTCATATAAACTTTTGGTTTCATTTTGTTTATTTTGCTTTGTTTGTTTGATCATTTTGCTCCAAGCTTTTGCTTTTCAGTAAATGTTTTTAATTTCCTACTTCTTCAATAAGAGTTATAGATCCAATGGCATTATTCTGTGAATGGGCAGTTGTGGCAATTCTTTTGTGGCTTAACTTTTATAAACATTTGAATCCTATATACATCAGGGTGGAAGAGACAGTGGAGGCTTTCTAGTCCAAGCCCTTTCTTAAAGGCAGGAATTCTCAGATCATCACAGACAAGGACTGTCAACCTTTGTTTGAAAACCATCAATTATGGAGCATCCATGACTTTAGGAAGCAGGCTGTTCAAATGCTTTAATAGCTGTCACAGTCAGAAATTCCTTCTAACATTGAATTTGAATCTCACACTGTAAAACTTCAGCCAACTGGTCTTTGAACTAATGACAGGCACTGTGAAAAATAAATCCACACCTTGTTCCTTGTTATTTATTTATGAGACTTATATACCGCTTTAAGTGCAAGCACTCTCTAAGCGGTGTACACCAGTAAGCAATGTATATGTATATTTACATTGCCCCCAACAATCTGGGTCCTCATTTTACCTACCTCGGAAGGATGGAAGGCTGAGTCAACCTTGAGCCAGTGAGATTTGAACCGCTGACCTGCTGAACAGTCAGCTAAAGTGGCCTGCAGTACTGCACTCTAACTGCTGCGCCACCTCGGCTCATCATTAACAGCTCTTCAATTATTGAAAGCATCTCTCCCTTTACTCTTCTCTTCTTTAGACTAAAACATCTACTCATTTTAACCTTTTCACTTCATACAGTTTAGCCTCCAATCCTGAACATTATTGCCATTCTATTCTGTTCTCATTATAATTCCTTTTTTTTATTGCAGTCAAAACTGAACAGTCTTCCAAGTGGGATCTAATCAGTATGACATATACAGTAGAAAATCATTTCCTGTGATCTCAGCATTATACCTCTGTTGATGAAACCCAAGTTTGTATTAGTCCTTTGGCAGTTGGACCACATTGCTTTATCTATGGTCTACCAAGACACCCAGATTCTTCTTGCAAGTACTATTTCCAGATATTACCTATCTTGTACATCTAATCTTCTATACTTACATTGAAA